GGACCGCAAGACCTGCTATGTGTGGGTTAGGCCGGTCGCTGAGAAGTCAGACGTGCTGCAGGACTTCGCTCAGTGGATAGTGGTGGTTGAGCGGTAGGCGAAGAAGTCGGTGCTGATGCTGCGCTCAGACCGTGGCGAAAAGTTTCTCGAGAAGCATTTCACTAGCTTCGTGGACGGCAAGGGCATCGTCCACGACCTGACCTGCCCCTATACCGTGCAACAGAATGGAATGGCGGAGCGGGAGATAAGGACGGTGGTGGAGTTGGTGCGAACGATGCTGCTGCACATGGGTGTGCAGCACCACTGATGGCACCTCGCTCTACGGCAGGCCGTCTGGGTCCGCAACTGCCTCGAGAGGTCGACGCTACCACCGGGGACGACGCCGTACCAGCTGCTCACCGGGTTGAAGCCCGACTTGTTGCGGGCACGAGTGTGGGGCTGCATGGCACAGTTCCTGGTTCCCGAGCAGTAGAATGGTGGGAACTTGAAGCCGAAGGCCAGGTGGGGTCTCCATCTCGGTGTGTTAGAGGAGAGCAAGGGCTGGGAGCTCCTCGACCTCACTGACAACATGGTGGTCACCATGTCGGATGTGGTGTTCTACGAGACGATGTCGCTGGAGGTGTGGAAATCGGAGCACGGGCCGGCGTCGGGGCGACGCTCCCCTTGCTCGCCGAGGTCGGTGAGCTTGCTTATGAGGACGCCGAGGTCGTCCACCCTTCTTCCCCTTTCCCTGCCCGTCCTACCCCACCCCTTGTCGCCGCTCTGCTGACTTCGACGTCGGCCAGCGGCGATGAGGGAAGAAGTGGGACGTCGCCAGTGCCGGTCAAAAGCATCGCCAGTGGCCGACGTGATGTCAAGCATGTCAGTGTGGGAGTGAATTTGACGCCGACAGAGGAGCAGCAGGCCGAGGAGGTGCGGCCGACTTTGGTGGAGCGGGTGAAGGAGGTGTCAGCAGGGAAGCCGCTGACAGGGGAGCAGCTGCCAGCGAAGCCGACCAAGGAGCAGTCGGCGAGTGGGCAGTTGGCAGGGGAGTCTACTAAAAAGGAGAAGTCGGCAGGAACGCCGACTGTGGTGCAGCAGGACGCCGAGGGCAGCGAATTCGGTGACGATGGAGGAGAGAACTTGGCGGTTGAGGAGTCCACCGACAGCTTTGTCGTGGAGGTCCAACCTGTACCGCGGCGTTCGAGCACCTGACTTCCTGTCCTACCACGCGTGCCTACCGCCAGCTGCCTACACCACGGTGAATGACGAGGTCGATGACGACCTGTCGTATGACGACGCCGAGGATGACGTCGACCTGCCAGAGCTTGACCCAGACATGCACGCCGACCCTGAGCACGACTGGGACAACGCGACAATGACGGTTAAAGAGGCGCTGGAAGGGCAAGGCGGTGAAGGCCGCCATGGAAGAGGAGATCCACAACCTTTTTAGCATGGGAATCTGGGAGCTGGTCGACACCCACTCGGGTTGAACATCATGAAGAACCGGTGGATGCTGATGACGAAGTACCGCATCAACGACACCGTCAAGAGCAAAAAGGCAAGGCTGGTCGTGAAGGGCTTCACGCAGTTGTATGGTGCTGACTACGATGAAACTTATGCGCCGGTGAGCAGATACGTCACGTTGAAGATCTTCCTCAGCATCGTTGCTGTCCTCGACCTCAACCTCCAGCACATGGAGCGGCGACACGCCTTGCTGCAGCACACGGTGAAACGTGAGAAGTTCTTGCTGAATTACATCCCGACCACCGAGCAGACGGCCGACTTCCTGATGAAGGCGCTGCATTATCCGGCCTTCAAACAGTGCTCCGCCGCAATCGGCAAGGTGCGCCTGGCCGACGTGGGCGACGGCGACGACGACGTGCAGCAGTAGGTGCCATGCGCGTTTGCATGGCTGGTGCAGTGATTAGCATGCTGTGTGTTGGGTGCACGTCGACGAGCTATTCTCCGAGTAGTGCTTCCGTGTGGGCTGGGGGCCCAGGCGTGAGCACGGCACGGAAGTGTCAAGGGGAGTTGTGTTTGGCCCCGTCCTCGCTTGGGCGGAGTCGACCTCATGGTCAGGTGTACGGGAGTTGCAGCTGACCTGCAGCAGTAGGCGAGCTGGTCTACGGGACTGGTCGACTTGCACGGGGGTCACTGCAGGGGCACCGTCTTCAGAGGGTGCCGAGTGTAGGTGTTCAACCTCGGAGGCGTCGACTTGGGGACGTCGACTTGAGGCAGCTTACTTGGGTGGTCGGCTGACAGCTGGGCTGGTCGACTTGGAGCTGGTCGACCAGATGCGCGGTCGACTTGGTGTGGTCGACCAGTGGTGGTCGTCGACCTGGGTGGTCAACAAGCACAAGGAGGAACCGGTCAACGTGGTGGTTGCCCGGTCGACACGGTTATTGTTCAGGATCCGTCACTTTGAGAGCTTACGGCGAACTCATTTCTCAACTAAACACAAATCTGCTCGGTAGGATGTTGCGCCTTAGGCTTCGCTACCATCTCCAAGTTAAATCAGTCGTTAAGATGGTCTATAGAGTGAGAACCACGTAAAAAACGTCCAGCAGCCGCATGACTAGAATGGTTGAGGAAGTACAAGCATTAAGGAATAGAGTAATTTGAGTTGGGGCCTCCAAGAGAACCATGAGACGGAAGGGGTTCTCCAAGAGCTAGGGAAGGATGGTAGGAACCTTCTTAGCAGCAAGGATGCAACCCTCATCATGAGGTCCTTGAGGTGTCACATGCAAAATCCAATCTAGTTGGATTTTTTGAATCTAGTAGCAAGAATGAATCAACTATGAAAGAGGTGGGTACAAGTATGAAACCCTAAAAGGGGCTGTACCCCATATTGGCTACCCCACTAAAGCCTAAACATATATAACAGGCATATACTTTGACACACCCCCATAGGCAAAGTGGGGAGAGCAAGGGGTCACAAAACCAGTCAAGCGAAGCAAAGTAAGCTCAGGGTGGATCACAACGTCACCACACACACTGAGCACAAGCAAAGGGCCACAAGGCCAGTTCATATGCAGAGGTACATATGCAACAACAACAGCACAGTGATCTCTACCTAGCAGAGCAAGCATGCAGGTATATATATAGATCACAGTACAAGCAAAGTCTACAGCAAGTGAGGCAAAGTGGGCACAAGGCCAAACAAAGTGCAGAAACGCTGATGATCACCAGACAGAAGTGCCTTGGTGAATATATCAGCAGTCTTGGCCCGAGTGGCCACGTGAGCAAGACGAAGCTGACCACGCTGCTGCAACTCTCAAGCCAGGAAGTAACGCAGAGCGATGTGCTTCGTTTTGTGCTCCAGTCTGTGCTACTGACACAAGGCAATGGCGGCCTTGTTGTCGACGTACAGCACTGGAGGAGAACGAGGCCGCTCTCCCAAGTCTGTCAGCAGGTAGGTGAGCCAGCGTAACTCCTGTGCAGCCATGGCTGTGGTGTAGATCTCAGCCTCACAACTAGAGCTGAGAACAAAAGACGAGCGTGTAGAACGCCAAGAAACTGAACCAGAGCCAAGGCTGAAGGTGTAACCCTGTGACAACCGCTGCGTAGCTTGGTCGTCAACCCAAGAAGCGTCTGAGTGCCCAGTGAGGACAACTGCGTTCCGCCCTCCAAGCACGAGCCCCATGCCCGATGTACCGCACAAGTAGCGCAGTACCCTCTTTGCAGCATCCATGTGCACCTTTCGGTGCCGACCAGGAGCCACGTAGCGAGCCAGAAGGCCAAGAGGGTACGCAAGGTGAGGACGAGTGCAGGTCATCAGGTACATGAGGCAGCCCACTAGCTCTGGGTACGGGCCACTCGGCTCTACGGACTCGTCCGAAGGTGGAGCTAAGAGCGAGTGGCCTGTAGCCAGAGGAATGTGTTGTGGCGAGGACCAGGTGAAGCCGAAGCGCTGAAGGACCTGCTGCACCATGTGTGACTGAGTCAGTGTGATGGTGCGGCGTGCTCTGTCCCGGGTGATCTGCAAGCCAAGGTAACTGCACAATTCACCCAGGTCTGTGCACGTGTGTCTCTTCTGCAGCTCCGACTTCACCAGGGCGAGAGTCTCAGTGTCAGCAATGGCAAAGACCAAGTCCTCGACATACACGAGGATGTAGAATGGCGGCACCGACGTGTCGGTGTGCAGAAACAGCGACGGGTCAGTATTCGACGGAGCTAGCCCAAGAGCCGCAAGCGTAGTCCTCAGTGTGTTGTGCCACTGACGTGGTGCCTGGCGGAGACCATAGACTGGCTGCCGGAGGCTCCACTGGGTACTAGGAGGGAACGACCCAGTGAAGCCAGGAGGGCGGCGCAACCAGATCTCCTCGTGCAGGCTGCCCTGTAAGAAAGCTGTGCTGAAGTCAAGAGAGTGAAGCTTGTAGTCACGCTGAGCGACAACGTGCAGCAGCACCTGAAGAGTGGTCATCTTCGGGGTGGGGGAGAAGGTGTGAAAGAAGTCTACTCCCTCTCGCTGACTGGAGCCTCGAGCAACGTAACGAGCCTTGAAGATAGGCGGAGAACGTGGCGGCCGCTTCACCCTGAAAATCCACATGCCATTGATGATGTTCGCCCCACGAGGGGGAACCTTGTCAACGTAAGTGCCAGTGGACTTCCAGGATGCCATCTCTGCGTCCATGGCTGACTGCCACTGAGAGGAGTACTCACCCGCGATCGCCTTAGCGTAAGAGCGCGGGGTCGGGATGTCGTGTGCATCTGGGTCTCCCTCAGGGGCAAGCAGCATGGACACGAGATGAGGTGCAGCGGCTGCAAGACACTCAATGTCCTCCTGCCTGTCCTCAAGGACGTCCATGCGAAGAGGACACTCACCCCGGACGGACGGAGGACAGAGAGACTTAGACTCTGCAACAAGACTAGCGGCGTAGTCTGGCCGACAGGCAGCAGCAAAGTCAACAAGCTCAGTGACTAGGGCAGACGCAGCAGAAGACTCAAAAGACGGGTCAGTGACAATTGTGGCTAGTAGACACGTGACAGTAGGGTGAGCAGCACGGGTGCGGTCAGACTCAGGCTCAGGAACGGTAGGCAGAGAAGACGCAGGAGGGGACGGCAGGGGAACTCTCTGCGGAGGAGAGGAAGGACGACAGACTACGAGGTGGGTGCCGGTGACAGCCGGCTGACGCGAGCGAGGAACACAACGACCAGGATGACCAGAACGGACAGGCGAGACAGGACGAGACGCAGGCTCACGACGCTCAGTAAGACCCCCTGTCTGCTCAGTGTAAGGAGAAGGAGCAGGCACCGGTGAGCCAGGCCGTAACGGAAGACCAGTAGACGAAGAGGGACTAAGAACCTGGCGAAGCACAGAGTCAGACGGTGGCTGAGACGACGGAGACGGTGGAGCAAAGAACAGGCGGGGCTGTGCAGTGCCACCAGCACCAGCAGCTCCAGCACCCCCGGCAACTCCAGCAGCTCCAGAACCCTGAGCGCCAACTCCTCCAGGACCAGCTCCACCAGCAGCAGCACCCCCAGAATCGGCACCTCCAGTCCCAGGGTCTCCAGTCTCAGTGTCTCCAGCAGCAGCACCCCCAGACCCAGGGTCTCCAGCAGAAGCACCCTCAAGCTCAGCACCTCTAGCCCCAGCAGCTCTAGTACCTCCAGTACGAGCACCTCCGGGACCAGCACCACTCCGAGCTCCAGTAACGTCAGCAGAAGTACCTCCAGCGATAGAGCCCCGAGCTCCAGAAGCAAGACCTTGACGGCGACCGTACCAGTCGTTCAATTGCTGTGAGGTGAAAGGCACACGCGGACGAAGGCGGCTACTCCAAAGAGACCGCCCAACAGCAGAGTCAGAACCCTCAGCGTCAGCACCCGCAGCAGCTCCAAAACCTCCAGCGCCAGCACCCGCAGCAGCTCCCGAACCTCCAGCTCCAGCACCCTCAGCAGCTCCAGAACCTCTAGCAGAAACAACTCCTGTAGCAGAGTCACCAGCTCCAATGCCTCCTGCACCAGGGCCCCTAGCTCTAGCAGTGCAACCCTGACGGCCAGCGTACCATTCACGCAGCTGCTGTGGGGAGAGAGGGAGTCGACGACGAGAGCGCAACGGCGAGGCACCAGCGGAGCGACTACGCAGACGGCCGCTCCAGGGAGACTGCTCACTAGACGCCTCAGCGCCTCCAGGTGCAGCACCCCCAGACTCAGTACCCCTAGGCACAGCACCCCCAGGCTCCGCACCTCTAGGCTCCGCACCCCCAGGCTCAGCACCCCCAGGCTCAGCACCCCCTGGCTCCGCACCCCCAGGCTCAGCACCCCTAGAAGCAGCACCCCAAGCAGGACCACCCTCAGCAGGACTTGAGTCACCAGTGACCTCAACTGGTGCAGTCGAGGGAGGAGGGTCTACCTGAGACACACCTGAAGGAGCAGGACCGGGAGCGGGGAGAGGGTCTACCTGAGGAGCACCTGTAGCAAGGAAGAGCGGCGGGGGGGGGGGGGAGACGGGCAGTGCGGTAGGGGAAGAGACGGTAGAAGGGAACCGACTCGTCGAACGTGACGTCCTGAGAGGGGAAGACACGGCGCGAGGTGGGGTGGTAAAACTGCCAACCAGGCGTGTCAAGGACAAAGCCAAGGAAGACACAGGGAACATCGCGGGCGGAGAGCTTGTCCGCGGTGGTATTGCGGACAAAGGCACGAGCACCCCAGACCCGGAAACGCGACGCATCGCCAACCTTCCCCGTCCACAGCAGTGTGGGCGAGGTCTCCGGCAAGGAGACACAGGGCAAGAGGTTGAGCTGATGCGCGGCGTACCGGACCGCAAACAACCATAGAAAATGGGGGGCAGCCGCATGGATCATGGAGGTACGAGCGACCTCCATGACTAAGCCAATGCGGCGCTCAGCAACCCCATTCTGCTGCAGAGAGGCCGGAAGCGTGAACGTCTGGCGGATGCCGTGCCCCGCACAGAAGGCTGCCAAGAGGTCTGAGGAGAACTCACCACCTCTGTCAGAGTGCAGACGCAGGACAGGAAAGTCCGTCCCGAACCGCTCGCACAGCTGGAGACGAACAGTGCGGATCCAAGGGATCAAAACATCAGGGAACCTCCCCCTTGCGCTGCAAGGGGAAGACCGTGGTGTAACGCGTGTAATCGTCGACGACCAGCAGGAAGTACCGCTCGTGGCCCGGTCCACGGACGCGGGCTGGGCCCCACACGTCCCGGTGGAGAGTCTGCAGGGGAGCCTCTGTGGGAGGGAACGAGGAGGAGTGAGGAGTAGCGCGCTGCCGCCCCTCGACACAGGGAAGACAGGGAGGAGCCGGCGAGGATGGGAAGGGAGGGAGAACCCTGGGAAGACCAGAGACAAGGACACGGCGGTGCATGCTGCGAAGACGCTGCACCGAGGGGTGACCAAGGCGGTGGTGCCAAAGGAGGGTCTGGTGCGACAAGGCGCGACACGAGCAGGGGGCCGAAAACTGACCTGACGCAGACGCAGAAGTAGCTACCTGAGGGGACTCAGTGGTCAGTGTGTACAGGCCCGACCCCGGCTGAGCACACGTGCAGTGTGTCACACGCTCATAGGCAGGGGTGACCTGGTGAACACCCGCGTCCTGGAGCGCAGAACCAGCCACCAAGTTTGTAGAGAACGAGGGGAGGTAAAGACCCGACAGTGTGCCGGACGGGACAGCAGGACAAGAGAGGACAGTGGTGGAGGTCGCACGGACTAGACCCCCAGAGGGGTCTGCCAGGGAGACTGCAACCGGCCGACTGAGCGGCGTGAGGGTGGTTCTGTCGCGAAAGAAGGAGCGAGAAGCACCAGAGTCAAGTGTGAAGGTGTACAAGGCCTGAGCAGGCGCAGTACCAGAGAGAGCAGACTCACCAGCACCTGGAGCAGCAGCCTCACCAGCACCCAGAGCAGGAGACGCACTAGTACCTAGAGCAGCAGCCTCACCAGCACCTAGAGTAGGAGACGCACGAGCACCTAGATCAGCAGCCTCACCAGCACCGAGAGCAGCAGGCTCTATAGCTGGGTCAGGCGGTACGCACAGGTAGCAGGCACGATCAACACTAGTAGGCAATGCATACATGGCAGTGAGAATAGCATCATAGTCAAGAGCAAATATATCTACCCCTCTGCCAAGCAGCTCCACCCAGTCGGGGAGCTCAGCCTCGTCGCCAAACTCGGTACGCCAGGCGTTGCTCAGACGAGCGAAGCAGCGGGACTGTGTGTGACTAAGCGTCCCGCAAGCCTGAACAGTCCTAATCACCTGTGCGAAGTGTACGTACGTGGCAGTGAACGGTACTCAAAGACCCTCTACTCTGAGCGTACCACTCACGAAGCTGCTGGGGTATAAGTGTCTCGCGCGGTCGCCGCTGCCCGCTGCAGCTGGCCACTGCCAAACGCTCCCGCTGACCAGCTCCAGGGCGACAGCCACGACAGCTACCGCCACAACCCAACTAGCGTACCACTCACGAAGCTGCTGGGGCGTGAGTGACTCGCGCGGACGTACGCTGGAGCTGCATCTGGCCACCGCCAGTAGTAGCAGTAGCAGTGGTAGTGGCAGTAGTAGCAGCAGCAGCACGGGCAGGGCAGACGCGGCAGGCAGGTAGGCAGGCAGCGGCAGACAGGCAGGCAGGCAGGCAGGCTGGCAGGAAGGCAGGCAGGCAGGCAGGCTGGCAGGCCGGCAGTGCGCTAACAAGGCAGGTGCTCACCAGTGGCGGGAAGAGCAGAGCGCTCGCCGGGCAGAGCAGGGCGCTGGGCTCGTATACCTCACACGGGCTGGCCTGCACGGGGTCCAGGGCGGCGTCGCGGATTCAGGGGCGGCGTCGCGGGGTCCATAGCGGCTGCACGAGTCCAGGGGGCGGCTGCACTAGGGGCGGCTGCTTCAGGGGCCAGGGCGGCTGCTCTGGGTCCAGGGGCGGTTGCTCGAGGGTCCAGGGGCCAGGGGCGGCTACTCAGGGTCCAGGGGCATCTTGCCTCGAGGGTCCAAGGGCGGCTGCACCAACGGCGGCTACTGTAGGAGCCAGGGGCGGCTGCTCTGGGTCCAGGGGCGGCTGCTCGAGGGTCCAGGGCGGCTGCACCAGGAGCGTCGGCTGCAGGCGCGGCCGCGTCAGAAGGCAGGGCCGGGCCGCGCTAGCTGCAGGGCGCGGCCGCGTCAGTGGCTGGGCGCGGCCGCGTCAGAGGTAGGGCGGGCCGCGTGATGCAGGGCGCGGCCGCGTCAGAGGAAGGGCGCGGCCGTGTCGAAGGCAGGGCGCAGACGCGACGAAGGCAGGACGCGGCCGCGTCAGAGGCAGGGCGGGGCCGCGTCAGCTGCAGGGCGCGGCCGCGTCGAGGGCAGGGCGCGGCCGCGTCGAAGGCAGGGCGCGGCCGCGTTGAAGGCAGGGCACGGCCGCGTCAAAGGCTGGGCGCGGCTGCGACGGCTGCAGGGCGCGACCGCGTCGAAGGTAGAGTGCGGCCGCCTTGAAGGCAGGCGCGGCCGCGTTGAAGGCAGGGCGCGGCCGCGTCGAAGGCAGGGCGCGGACGCGTCAGAGGCTGGGCGCGGCCGCGTTCTGGCCTGACGGGCCTGTAGGGCCGCGTTCTAGCCTGACGGGCCTGTAGGGGAGGCTGGGCAGAGCGGGGCCGTGTTCTGGCCAGCCGGGCCTGTAGGGGCGGCTCGTGGGCCTCACGGGCCTGCAGGGGCGGCTCGTGGGCCTGACGGGCCTGTAGAGGCGGCGCGTGGGCCTTACAAGCCTGCAGGGGCGGCGCGCGGGCCGTACGGGCTTGCAGGGGCGGCGCGCTGGCCAAGGCAGCAGGAGGCAGCGCGAGGGCTGCAGGACGGCGCGCGCAACGCAGCACGTCACAAGGCAGGGCAGGCAGGCGCAGGACAACACGTGGGGTAGAGCGGTAACTGCAACGGTAGGTGGGCAAAAAAAAACGGTCCTACGGACCTAGTGCTCTGAAACCATGTAGAATCTAGCAGCATGAATGAA